AAAAAAAAAAAAAAAAAAAAATCCCTTCCCTGTGGGAGTCTTGGGCATCTCCAGCCTCCCTTACTCTCATGGTAATTAATGTCTTAATTGGCTGTTGCCTGGGGAACAGGAGAACTGCTTCAGGCAGATGACCTCATGGGGGGTGGAGGGAGGTGAGGTTGCCCAGGTGGCTATTTGCCCTGCAGAGCTGGGAGTTCCCTGCTCACCCCCTCCTGTTCTCCCCTCACCTTTGGCATCTTTTGGCCGGGTGGGAAAACAGGCCCAGACACCTAAGCGGGTATAAGACCAGGTGACCTACTCCTTTTCTGGGCTCTAGCATCAGTGGGTGTCCTCCCGACCCAGCTCCTGCTGGCCCCCAATCTTGGGATGGGGCCTGGAAAGAGGAAGAGGCTGCCCAGGGCTGGGCCAGCATGCCGTGCACTTTGACCCCAGCTCCTTGCCAGCACGGCTGCTAACAGACTGCCACTTGAGTGCACCTTATCAGTTCACCCAGAGTGGCTATGGAAGGAGCTGGGCCTTACACCATCCACCTCCACACTGCCTCCTGGCCAGCTGCCCACCCAGTGCCTGGTGGGAGAGGGAGCAGAACAGCCAGCCCCTTCCAGGTGGCAGTCGGAAGGGTGTTTTGTTTTTGTTTCTGTTGCCATTTGTGTAAATACTAGTCTTTTTTGGAAAAAAATAATGTAAAGATGTTTTGTATAAACTCTGAATTATTTTCTTGTTGCTTTTTTCTTAGAAAAAAATAAGAACTAAAAAAAACATCAACCACATGGAGAAATGGGTGTAAAATGGTGTCATGATGTTGGGAATGAAGTGTGAGTGTATGAGTGAGTATGTGTGTGAGTGAGAGAGGAAGAGACTCCCTGTGCACAAACCACTGGTGATGTGAGCAACTATGGAAAGAGGGTGGCTGCCCTCATGGAGCAAGATGTTTCAAGTATCCCATGGCCCTCCTGCTCTCCCTTCTCCCCACGTTTCTCTGGCCTCTTGTGCTGGAAACTGTGACCATTGTCCCGTGTCTATCCTGTCACCTCTGTGGCATAGGCCATGCGCATCTGCCCAGTATGGCATTAGGCTCAGCTAGAGAGACTTGATGGAGGAGGGGGTGGTCCCCAGGGGGGCCTGGGTGTGTCTGCAGGTACTGCCACCACCTGGCTGGGGCTAGATCTGGGATCTGCTGGCAGGCCCAGCCCTGCCCTGCCTCAAGACACCTGGAGGTGGATGGAAGCAGCTTCCCAAGAGCTGGGCCTCAGCTGCGGCTCACTAGGTAGTAAGGCCACTCCTTACTCCAGGCTGCCTGGTTGACTTAACCAGAAGAATCTTCCTTCTCCTGTCTTCAAAGCTGGACCACACGAGAGCCCTCACCATGGCATATTTGGGGGCTTCTGGCTGGCGCTAGAAGCCCTCAAGGTAGAGCAGCCCTGAGCACCCAGTCTCCCCCCCCACAGGCTCCCTCCCTAGTCCAGGAGTGTGGTGACTGCCCTGAAGAGGGTTTGGCCTCAATTTCCAGCAAAGAGGCAGACTGGCAGGGCCTGGGGCCCTCCTGCTCCAGCAGCATTGAGCAGCCTTTCAGTCTAGTACGGGGACTCCCTGTGGAAGTGGCTAGGGAAGATATCAGAAGAGGAGGATAAGTGAGATCCTAGCAGCTAAAAATGGGTGAGAAGGCACTGGAGGAAAGGAGGAGGGGGAAGGAAGGGGAGGGTTAGTTAGAGATGCAGAGCAGGAAGCCCCAGTCAACCGGCCAAGGAGCAGACATGGCTATGAGGGAAGTGGGAGGAGAGCCTTGGGACCTGTAGGGTGGAGGAAAGGAAGGGTGGGCTGGAGCTAGGCTGGGCCTAGCTGGGGTGCTCCAGGAGCCAGCTGGGGCAGAGGCTGTTTATTTGGTTTCTCATTAACCAAAGGAAGTGCCTGGATCAGATGGAGCCTCTGCTGCTTGACTGCCTGCCCAGACTGGGGCCCGGCCTGGGCCAGGGGTCCTTAACCAGGGCTAGTTCAGGCTAGATTGATGTCTCTAACTGAGGAAGAGCCATGTTGGGTGAGCCCTTCCCACACTTCCCCAACTGAGTGTCCTTGGGTGGTCCCCCACCCAGCACAGGGTACCAGCTGCCCTCACCCTCACCTTACCAGTGGGGGAATGAGTTTCTGGGGGCCCTTTGGGAGTAGCTGTGGGAGTGTGAAGTCAGATCTGTGGGAGAGAGTGCAAGAAAGCATGGGGCAGTCTCTCTGACAGCCCAGAAGGTTTGTGACCAGCTGCTCCTGTTGCCCTGGCCTGTGTAACTGAAGGCCGCTTTGCCCTCAATGCTCATGCTGTGCTGGCCACACAGGAGTTCCCAGGAGCTCTCTGTGGGCAGCACATCCTCCAGCTGGACAGTGACTGCTTTTTTTCAGACACTTTAACACATTATCTCATTGAGCCTCACAAAGCACACTGTGAGGGCAGACAGTAGGGAATTGCTTGCCTCCTATTTAGGATGAGGAAACTGAGATCCTATGAGTAGCAGTAACTTGCTCAAGAACACACACCAAGTGACCAGGAGCACTGGGATTGGAGCTCAGGCCTTGTACTACACCATGAGCAAATAGAAGTTTCTTGAGGGTGATTCTCCTTAGCCCCACTCCCCTGTTCCTTACCTATTTCAGATGAGACAGCAAGTGTGCTTCTTTGGGGATCTTGAAGAACAGGGGCTCTCCCCACCATTCCCTGCCCATCTGTGCAGGTCAGGGAGGGCCCAGGCCTAGCTAGCTGGAGGCCGGAGTGGGGAGCCTCCAGTGGCAGAGCCCCAGACAGGCCCTACCCTCTGCTTTCCTTCCTGTTCCAGTTGGACCCAAGCTCCTGGTGAGTCAGGGAAAGAAGATGCGTCCCAGGTGAGGGTGGGACTGCCTGGCTTCCTCTGCAGGCTGAGCGCAGATCACTAATGATGCCAGGCTGGGCAGGTGCTAACCAGACCTCAGTTTCCCTGAAGGGACAGGCCTTGTGAAGCTGGAAGGCCAGGGCTCTTGTGCCTTACTGCACTCGTCCATTTTAAACTCTGAGGAGGCCTCTCTGAGGCACCAGGGATGTGGATGGCCTGGCACCCTCTAGGCAGGGGCTTGAGGGTGGGCCGAAGAACTCAGAGAGACTCTGGTCTGACTGGGACCATCCTAGGTTGGGCCCTGCTGAGCAAGTGTCCCTTGGGCCACCTGGCATCAATCACTCTTGGAAATCCGGCCTGCCTGCCTGCCTGCCTGGCCTCCTGTCCTGCCTGGGCATGTCACAGTCCCGCTGACACCCCAGCTGAGTCAGCCCCAGCCTGCCTGGGGACCCTCCTTGCCCATCTGCTGCTGGCCTCCTGTACAGCTGGCCATTGGATCTTGGGGGCTGGGGCCCCAGCTGGTGCTGATTAGGTTTGCTCCCCCTTTGGGAGGCTGTTGAGGGGGAGACCAGCCCCCACCTAGGACATGGGTCACAGAGCCCAAACTGAAAGCAATTTAAGGACATGGGGGAGACAGTAATTATAAGTTCTGTTTCCAGTGGTTGATTATCCAGCTGGCAAAGAGAAAGGAAAGAGGGAAATCTGGGGGTGAGGGGAATAAGGAATGTGTGAAGGGTAGGGCAGGGTGGAAGGAGTCTGCCCATGGTGGCCCTTTGACACAGGGGAAAGAGCCCCAGGCCCAGAGGTTGGAGACTGAGGGCCTCTCCCTGCCCTAATATGACTCTCTTTTTGATCAGAGGCAGGTAGATCTCTGCTTCTTTGGGCCTTAGTTTTCCAGTCTGGATAATGAGGAGTGGGACTAGATTTCTTCATTTACTCAGAAAGTATTTACTGAGCATTTCTACTACATGCTGATCAGTGAACACTAGGGCACAGTGATGAACAATATGGACAAGGTTCTTCTAGAAAGGCCTTTATGTTCCTGGTTAACTGAACTCAAGTGTGCCTGTGTGGTGACAGGTTGTGAGAAGGTGAGAGGCAGAATGGTGGATACACAGACGAAAAACTTGGGTTCTAAAGTTAGCCTTCCATGAATTCATTCACCCATTTTTTCCCCATCAAATCTTGAATGCCTAGTACATAGCAAGCACCAATAAATGGTAGCTGTTGCTTCTCCTGTGAGGAGTGCAGTGGGCAGTTGGGCTCTGGGGCTGGGCTTCACGAGAATCTTTTTTGCTTTCAGAGTGGACTCCAAGTCCTGGCTGTTCCCGTTATCACTGACCAAAGCTGGCCTTTTGCAAAGTTCCTAAACATCCTCACCAGAAGTTATCCTAAGGTCCCAGTCCCAGCCTGCCTCCCCCAACCCCAGCCCAGGTGTACCCATGATAAATAATTCCAAAGCCAAAGTAGAAGTGTGTGTCCTCAGCCCTTGTGACCCCATTGGCTGGTCTATCTCAGACCCCCCAGAGGCAGTAGGTAAGGAACTCCCCGCTTTCTCTGGCCAGAGCCCTAGGGAGAGGCTCCAGATGGCTCTTTTGATTTGATGGTACCAGGAAAAGCCAAGGAGATCCTGGAATTCACTTTGTATTGGGGCCTCCATGCTGGCTGGATTCTGCTGGGTAGAGCCCTTGCTCTCAGAGGGGCTGGCTAGTGGCCTCCCCAACTGCCCTCATGCCAGTTCAGAAGAATCCGAGAGGCCTGAGGTCAGGAAAGGGTAGAGCTAGGACTTTCCTGAGAGCTCCTTTCTAGTTCAAACCCCTCATGGGGCGAAGTCCAGAAACCGGAAGGGACTTGCTCAAGGGCATGCAGGGAGTGCTGGCAGAGCCAGGCTTCAGAACAAGCTTCCTTGGCTGACACAGAACCAGCTGTGTGCCCTTCTTACGCACTGTTGCTTTGTTCTTCCAGAATCCCCAGGAGTTTGTATGTGTGAGTGAACCAAACAAACCTATATATACACAGCATTTACCCTGACAAACTATGTAAGTTTACACA